GGCACTGGGAATGAAAAAGACAAATAAGAAAAAGCCTATTCCCTGAGGAAGCTCACAAATTACTAAAGAAAACATCTCATCACAAACATTTAATACACAGGGACATCAAGGAAGGACACAAAGGATGTTACAGGGCCATAGCAAAGAATATACCTAACTCTCTGAAGTAGTTTCTATAGAAGTATTTTCCTGAGTAATATGATTATATGTAAAAAATCTTCTTGAGGCAAGAATAAAAGCATTTTTCTTTTATTATTCTATTTACATAGTATCACATGTTTATCTATCACCTTTTAAAAGTAGCTCATCACCACAAACCTGTAACATAATCCTTTCTGAATGTTATAGATACTCTCTTTGGCAAGAAGACAAAAATCAGCCACATGTTATCAACAATTATGATTCAAGGCTATCACTTTACCTGAATATTTCAAAGATTTGAAACATTTCCAATTTCCCAGATTACTGCATTCTGTTAATATTTATTGACCATCTATTATTTGGCAGACTCTAGAGAAGAACAAATCTAATTCTCTGCTCCCCAAGAGCTCATTGTCATAATGTGATTTCATTACCATTACTCTATGGCAATAATATATTTTGGCTCTATCGTTGCTTTAGGACCATTAAGGAATCTTCCATTCATACCAGAGAACTAAAATTATAGACTTTGTATATGTTTTTCATTAAAAATTTGGTGATATATATTGATACTTTTCCTAGATATGTTTGAAATTAATGAAATCAAAATTGTTAAATAAAACAATTCTATGTTAAGCTGTAGCAGAAAAAAACCTAGTAAATATGAATTGACTCCACATAAAAACATTGCCTGTGATTTCAGAAATAAAAATATGCTGCTGAGAAGAAAATAAAATCTAGTTCAATAAACTTATCAAGTTAATAGGTATTATATTTAATCACTTGAAATGATCATTTACTTTTTAATGATAATACTTTTAATAGATAATAATAATTTTACAGCTCAGATGAACTTAGTTTATACTCAGGATAAAAATAATAGGGCCAAGCTAGATACCTCCCAGCCATGTGACAGAATAGCTGTTCTATAGTAAAAACTTATAAGGTAAATTCCTAATTATTAAATCTTCCCCCAATAATTTTGGATTTTACTCCCCTCTGAGAAATCAGCAAGTAGGCACACTTTACAGTATTTGCAGTAACAGAGATGAAACAAACAGATTTGTCTGGAGATCACCCCTAGGTTTTCTGCCATCAGTTCTGCAGCATGAACACAACAATGCCTGGCAACACATTAGAAACTACTGTGTATATTCTTTTTCTAAAGTTAATCATTTAATTGTGTTATTAAATCTCATTATTTTAAAATTAAAAAAAGAAATATAGAAGAGCACACAAAATAAATGCATGACATTTTGAAATTTTACAAAGCAAACACTTGGTTATTATAAAGTAACCACCATGGCGGTCAGGAAAAAAAGAACTCTGCCAACCCTGTCTGAAGCCCTTTCTTTCAAGAAGCCCATCACAATCGTAGCCTCTTCCCCGTCCCTTAAGCAACCATTATCCTGACTTGCATAGTAATCATTTCCTTGTGTTTTTTACAGCTTTGTCACCCACAAGAGCACCCTTACACATTGTTAACTGTTGATTTCCCCATGCATTATTATTCTACATTTAGTACTGCATACAGCTGATAACTACAATTTAAGTTAACATATTTGAAAATATAAATGGCAAGAAAATCAAAGTTTTACCCATCTTAAATGTTTTCTCTATTTTCCATAATAGGTATCGACAGGGTGAGTTTTCAAGGAAAAGGATATTAATACTGCATCTATAACTACTTGGCAAATAAAATACTAAAGTGATAAAAATCCATTCTGAAGAAGCAATGTTCAGAAAACAAACCAAAAAAAAATTTAAAAACCATAAGCCAAAAATGTTTCTGGAATAATAATTACCAATAAAAAAGGTCATTAAAATTATAGAATGGCTCAAAATTGTATCTATGCGGTATATATATTTTAATATGTGCACATAGAAAAAAAAGTCTTTCATGAGAAATGCTGTATGTCTATACATGTAACATGATGGTATGAAAACATATGACCACCTCTAATTTAAATTTTATTTTACTAAGTATTTTATTTTCTAATTTCAGAAGAAAGGTTGGAATTAATCAAAGGTAAATTTTAACCTGTTTTAAGGTAACTTTCCTAAATATAAAATTAGTATTATCTATAAATGTTTAGGAAACACAAACTGTATAGATAGACAAAAATCATGCATAATCCCATCATCAAAAAAGTCACTTTTAACATATTAGCCTATTGTTTAATTATTCATTATTTACCTCATCATTCCTCCACTATTTCTTTAAAAAAAGTAGTTTATCTTTCATTTCCATTCAATCTTATAATCAAAGATGATAAAATAACAAGACTACTTTTTAAACACATCAGAATTAATACATCCAAGTGAGTATTTTTTTTTTTAGTTTAAAGATGCAAATAATGAAAAAGCATTTTTCAGTAGACTTCCTTAAGAACTACCTTGAAATTCAGTCAGTATACACAATAATTACTATTACAGAAATGGTTCCCAATGGATTCTCATACAGGAATATAACATTCTAGAATTTTACCAAAATCGTATTGTGTTCCTATTTCCCATATTCTGCCTTGAGTCTTCACACTTCTATGTCTACATATTAAACATGATTTATGTTGATAATTTTCAGAAATTGACTATTAAGGATTCAGGAAATCCAACTTATGAAAATTACCATAAAATGTGCTATGGAAGACAAATGTATTTCTAAATATCCAATTGTAATAAAAAATTACACAAGTCCAACTTTATCTTTTCACAAACCTCCATTTAAAAAAAATGTGGAGATATAGTACAACTAAAAATAAATCGGCTTAAAGGTATAATATAATGTTATCTAAGAATAAATTAAATCTCTTAAAACTAATATTTAAGATATAATTATGAAACATCAGATAGAACACGTGTTAATATTCATAATAAATTAAAGAACAAAATAGTGACCTTTTTCACAACTACACTTCCTTAGGACCAAATTACACAGTAAGAGGTTGTTCATCCTTTAAAATCTACTCTACTTTTACTCCTACTTCTGTGGTCTATGCTCATTCCAAAAACCTTGAAATATTGAAGTGGATTTCTAAAGCAAATAAATATGAATATTCTCTGAAGTATTGAAAAGGCCTTATGAATCCAAAATAATTATGATAATGATGATGATAACGGCTATGACAACAGTAATGAAAGAAATGCTAAATTCATTCTCTGTTCCCTGTAAGATTTCCATGGTCAGCAAGAGCATGCATCTTTCCAAGCAATGGAGTTTGAAAGAGTACTGATAAAGTTAATTTCTTAAAATGTACACCAACAAATACTACATGTCCTTTAGAATAGAACACTGGCGGGTATCTAATGCCATCTAGTTGTCGAAATTAGTGGGTATTTTAAAAACATCTCCCATGACTGGCAGATCAAATCTAGGCATGTCTTTCTGGGTATAAGAGGGAGCTGAGAGTATTCTGCACTAGCCAGTTTCCTTATATTCCTCATGGTTACCTCTCTGCTTTATTTTTTGCCATCAGCTAAGAGTGAAACAGGAAAATGAGATCATTCAGATAAATACTGTGTCCTGGGCCCTGCCTGATCTGCCTTTTTCTACTTTTCTTTGTATGTAGCAGCATCCATTTCACTCATCTTGTCTTTGAGAGCTATTGTTTAGGACATAGCAAGTTCTTATGAATACAGTCTATATCTGATGAGGTAATCACGAGCAGTCACACTTAAATAGTTTAGCAAATGTTTCAAGTATTACATAGTCCCTGCCAGATCCCAAAGATATTTGCTTCTCTTAAATCTGCATACTTTTCCTTGTGCTACTTTAGGGGCTATAATTCTTTTGGCTATTTCTACCCTCCAGTCTAAGGCTGAAGTATTTCCTTTGGAAGAACAGTCTTTTTCCCTTTTGAACCCTGGTTCTGGTTTTTAAGGCTTTTTGTCTTAAAATTGTCTATAAAACAATTTATAGAGATTGATGCCTCTGTTCTACCAACTAAATAAGTATCCCTCTGGTTAAATTTCAGGTACTTACTATCAAATACTTCCTCAGGCTGCAGCCTCAACTTTACGTCCACCAAACCTAGGGAACTGGATTTCCTCAGTCCCAAACTCAATCTGTTCTTCTTTTATGGTCAGTTCTGCAAACACAATGTTTTCCGAGCCCCTTCATGATACTGTCTCCTCAATTTTAAATGCAATTTTTCCCTATTTCCCTAAAGAAAATTTTCCTTGTTTCCTCACTTTTTTTAAACAATTCTTATCCCTGATACTATCAACTCCCTAAAATTGCATTTGTGGTTTTTCTAATAAATTTTAATATACATCATCAAGCCAAGGATAGTCCACTGCCCTTCTTCAAGAATTTTTTTAAATCACATTTTAATTTTTGCACAGAATCTTGTATTTCCTTTAATTCACAATAAACTTTACTTGTGGAACTGAATTCAGTGAAGGGGATATTTAGCCTTATGACTGAAATTGTTGTTACTTTCATGTTCTTAAGGAACCTCAAAACACTTATGATATGTAACCAAAATTAGCAAAAAGAGAAAAATATAATATTTCTTATGTGTAATATCATTTGCATAACTCTTATCAGGACTCTTCATAAAATAAATAATTACTACTTAATTATTATAAATCTAAAACTTCACAAATCAGTTAGGATTAAAGATAAGAAATACATTTAATAGCTTGGACTTCAGACTACTCTCTTACCTTAAGCATCCTCAACAAGACTCAAACACCCATTTGCAATTTAATTTTAAAGTTATGAGCCTATTTTTCAAGAAAAAAAGAATAATTTCTTAAGCACCAAAGGAAAAGAATAGATGCTCTAATGCATTTTTCAAGAGCAGTGGTTGAAAAGAAAATGGACAATATAACAGTAAGATTATATATTAACTTACATAATCATGGAAGGCTTTTGCTTCACTTGAATGTTCACATGTTTCCCTTCTTTCTGGAGCTGCACAGTAGAGATCCCAAAATACACTAAAAAAGTAATTATGGCAATATTAAGAAAAATCATATAATGCCAAATGAGAGATAACAATTCTAAAAATGGAAGACATTATTTTTTATATAAAATATGTTTTCTTCAGGACAAATATTTCTTTGAAAGACTTAGTTTCAGGCAAGGCTCTTCATGCAATAATACGGTATGATGTAGCCATCACTCAGAAATGCTAATATGATTTTTCAACAAATTTAAAACTGTCACTCTTGTCTGTTTACATGACAGACATGAGATCGAAATAATTATAATAATTTTCACAACTTTCCCATGAAGAATAAACACAGTAAAAAAAATAACCTAATTTAACCATTAAAGAATAAAGTGGTTCATTAATTTTTTCAAGATAATTTTGTTGTCCAACTCACAAGCCAATAGCCTCACCATTAAACCACAATGGTGGAGGCAGGGATTGGAAGGATGCTGCCACAAGCCAAGGAGTGCCAGATACTGCTGGCAATAATCAGGAGCTGGGAGCCTGCATGGAACATATCCTTTCCTTGGGTCCCCAGAAGGAACCAACACTGCTGACATCTTGATTTCAGGCTTCTGGCCTCAGAACTGTGACAGGATACATTTCTGTTATTTTCAACCTCCCCTGAACCTCTACCTTCCACCCCCCAAAGTTCTCCCCACGCTGTCCAGTTTGTGACAGTTTGTCATGGCAGCCCTAGGAAACTAGTAAAGTTAGTTGCTTTGTGGAAGAAAAATAAAAATAAAAACAACTCACATTTGTCAAACAAATGTTTTCTTAAAATTTCCTTTTATTTTCCTTGGCAATTACCAAAATAGGTTAGTAATTCTGGAAATTAAAAAAATCCATGCTATTTTTTTTCTTCTATCCAAGAAAAACGGGAAAAAGCTAGATGAAACTGTTTTGGAAAAAAATAATTACACTGCTTATAAAACATGTGGCCCTGATCATCCTTCCATCTATAAAATTAATTATGAGCATGAGTAAGAGTTTCAAAAATCAAGAAATCAAATGTCTAAAAGTACTACTGGTGATAAGCCAGCCCTACTAATTACTAGTTCAAGTTGCCTGAACAGATCAGAACACAATTTCCTTCTCTATGAAATGAGATTGTTTAGAAAATTAAGATATATAACAAGCACAGGGTCTGACTCACAGTAAACATATTATTAACAATATCATCAACACTATAATTAGTTTGCATAAAAGCTTAAAATGCATACATATTGTGAAGGCAAGTCATTGTGCTAAGGGCAACCTCAATAATGGTCTAGTAAAACTTGGTAAATTAAACCTGGTTGTTTTGACCCTTGAAGTTTCATTTAGTCTGGTTCTTGCTTCTCATTTAGTCTGCTTTTCGCTCTCCTCAGCTGGGAGAACACACAGTCTGTAGGCCTTATAACACAATTAAGTCAGTAAAATAATATTACCTTCAGAAGTGAAAAATATGAAAGATTGGATATTGACATTTATTGCCTTTAAAATTTTTAATATAAACAAGGAACACAAAGAAAATAATAAAAGCCAAACTAATTTAAGTAAATTTCAATTATTTTTAGGAGAAAGTTGTTAAAAGTAGTACTTGGCCTCCCCATTCCCTTTTTGAAATAAAAAGTATAAGAATTATAGACATACAAAAATATGTTTTTGACTAGGATCAGGTTATGTTATAAACTACAGTATGTTGCAATTATGTCTCCTTTCATGTTCTTAAGGCATTTCAAAGCTCTTAAAATCAAGATTTTATAATGCTAGTCTTTATAAAGTATATTTAGTTTAAACATACAATATTATATGCGATATTATGACAACTAATCTTTTTCTGTTTCTTAATTTCCTAGCAAATATCATATGATCTCTTTTCAAAATTATTCTAATATTACTTTTAAAAGGTTGTCTTACAAAAATGACTAGAAGAAGAATAATTTATTTTTGGAGTATGCTCTAAACATTATTAAATAAATGTAATTATTTATACAACTATAATTTAATTAAATACTTATCTTTGAATAATAACATTGGTCTACTACTTCTAAGTTTCCCCTTTATGGATTTAATGGGAAGTGAAAAGTTTACAAGATCATGATGAGGGATAATAAAACAAGTTGGTAAAATAAGATAACTTTATATATGACATGTCTAACAATCTTATATTACCTAAACATTATCTCTTTGAATAATGGTAAAGAAATATATCCTTTCAAGACATTTACCCAAGGGAAAAATACACAGCTTTATAATAATAGTTACAAACATCAATACTTCATTCTCATTACTTGATAAAACAACCAGATAGAAGATAAGAAAGGAAATAGAGGGCAAAAACAGCACAATGAATCAACTAATTCTAATAGATACATACAGAACACTCTACCGAACAATGGCACACACATTCTTCTCATGTGAACATGGAACATTTTCCAGGATAGACCATATGTTAGGGCATAAATTAAGTCTCAACAGATTTAAAAAACAGGTATCATAAAAAAAATATATTCTTTAACCATATAGGATGAAATTAGAAATCAGTAACAGAAGAAAAACTAAAAATTTCATAAAATTGAAGAAAGTAAACAACACATTGTCAGTGAATGAAAGAAGCAAACACAAGGGAAATGAGAAATAGAAATACTTAGAAATTAAACAAAAGCATGACATACTGAAACTTACAAGACTCAGCAAAAGCAGTGCAAAGAGGGAAATTTAAAACTATAAATACTTACATTTAAAAACAAGGATGATCTTAAATCAACAACATAACTTTAAAACTTAAGGAAATAGAAAAGAACAAATTAAACCCAAAGCTGGCAGAAGGAAATACTAAAGATTAGGGCATTGAGCAAAGAAAAACAATAAAAAAAATTATTGAAAACAAAGGTTGGTTCTTTAAAAAGATCAAGAAACTTGACAAATCTTTAGCTAGAAAGACTAAGAAAAAAAAGACTCAAATTACTAAAGCCCCCACCAAAATATTGTTAGACATAATAAATGAATTCAGTAAAGTTGCAAAATATAAAAATCAATATACAAAAATGTGTTTAGTTTCTATATACTAACAACAAATTATCAGAAAGAAAAATTATGAAGCAGAATTGCATCAAAAAGAATAAAATATCTAAGAATAAACTTAACCATGGAGGTGAAAGGTCTATACACTGAAAATTATGAGACACTGATGAAAAAACAGAAAAACAAATGGAAAGATACTTCATGCCATGAATTAGAGGAATTAAAGTTGTTAAAATGTTCAACTACCCAAAGCAATCCACAGAGTCAATACAATACCTATCAAAATTCCATTGGCATTTTCCACAGGAAATAATAATTCTAAAATGTACATAAAACCATAGAAGACTCTGTATGGCCAAAGCAATCTTGAGAATCAAGAACAAAGTTGGAGGTATCACAATTCCTGGTTTCAAACTATGTCACAAAGATATAGTAATCAATAGACACCGAGTTCTTTGCTCTACAACCTGAGATGGTGGTGGCTAAGAAGCTTTTCAATCCCTCTCTCTAATCCCTACATCTATTAAACTTGAAACTAAAATTTTATCCTTGAAATGTGGTGAATGCATCATCATGAATAATGCCTTAGATTTATAGTCTCTGTATTTTTAAGAAAATACAAGTGAAAAATCTGTATTTTCCAAAAGAAATAGAAGCAAACTTGCAAAGTATTGAAATCTTCATTCTTAAATCATTTATTATTAAAAATTTCCCCACATAAACAAAGGAAAATGTGGGATTCCCATGTTGAGACTTCGTATCCAAAAACTGTTTTCCTTCTATTCTGAGGATGTGAATCATAATGACTTAGCTAGTTGTCAGTATCTCTAGGGAACATAGAAAGCAAAACGGTTGTCAGAGAAGTGTACAAGGGTAAATAAACATACCAGATGGGATAGTATGTTTGAATAGTAGATGGGATGCTAACATAATTATATAACTTTTTTGCCACTGGTCAGATTTAGGGCTCTCTGAAAGTGAAAATTAAAAGAAGAAAAATCTTTAGGGAAAACATTTTTTTCTGAAGAGCGAGCCATGTTATTATAAATCCAAGTCTTAATAATTAAAGATGTTATTTCTTTTTGGCCCAAAATTATATTATCAATGAATGAAGAAAAACTATCCATTCATAAGACTGAGGACGGTTTTTAAATGAAATATACACGTATGTGCTCATCATCTTAGAACTTCCATTTACATGTACTTATTCCTTAGCATTATTTAATACTTTGTAAATGCAAGCATTAAATTTTGTCCCACTGTCAAAAATTCTCACAATACTCTTGGGTTAGTAATAAAATCATATTTCAAAGTATCCAAATAGCTTACATTTAATATGTATGTGCTAAATTCAAGTATCAGATACTGAGCATTACATATTCAGCATTTAATCCTCCTATTATTATTCCCATTTTATAGATGAGGGAACTGAGGCTTAGCAAGGCTAAACAATTTACCTAAGGGTAACAAGGTTAGTGGCAGAGCTGGGCTTGAGCTTTTTAATCCTTACATTATTTTGCCTCTCATGTAAGTATGGTATTAAGAGTTCTTATTTCAAGATGCCTTATGCTGATCATGGGCAAGTTTATATAGCTCTGGCAGTCCGAGCAGCATCAGCTGTTATAAGAATGTGGTAGATACCCATCTTCCATAAGACAGCAAGCACTTTGTTATCCTACCTTTGACCCTTGCACTCCAACTCATTTCCTGAGTATCCTATGGCAACCATCCCCTCTTGCTACCACAGCAGCTGCCAGTGATCCATGGATGCCTCAATATAGACTAGACTTAGAGGAGACAACTTTTCTGAGTCCCATTTATATCTACTATCTGGAATTAACCACTCATCATGCTCAAAAAGGAACTATAATTAATTTCTTAATAATAGTGGGCCACTAAATTCTGTTCTGTGTTTAAGAAATAATACCTGTCGCAGAGACAAGCACTGGTTACAAATCAGGAAACTTCAATTCTAATTCTGAATTTGACCCTAAGCAAATAGTTTTGTTCCTTAGTTTCTTTATGTAAAAAGAAATATCTGTTATATATTTTATAAGTTTTTGTAGATAAAAAGAGATGGTATATACAAAAGTATTTTTAAAAAAAGTATAAAGTTACTAAAAAATATTCTAGGAAAGTCTCATGTAAGTAGTATGGCTAGGAAAAAAATAAGTTCTCTTATTAAGTGAGTAAAGTTTGCCTTAGTTTCCTTTTTTAATCCTTTGCATTTAGTGGACTTCAGAGGCAAAATTCCATCAGTTTTTTACATTGTCTTCTCCCTGATAAATTTTCCTCTGAATCCCACATTCCTTTCCTGCTCTCCCAGACACAGTTCGCCTTTTCTCTGTAGCCTAACTGCCTCTGTTCCTTGCTTTCTCTCTTACCAATATTTCTTATTCCCTTTCACCATGATTATATTCCTTCTAACCTAGTTGTCATCTACATTGTCTTACATTGCTGCTTAGTTTAACTTAGTTCACTTTTTTTTAAAAGGAAAAATATTTTGTTTTAAAATACTTGCTACATGTCATTATTTTTGCCATTGTAAGGCTCAGCAGAGATGCCAGCAGTACATAAATGGCCAGCAAGAAACAAAACAATAAAAACTAAAACCCTGAAGGAATAGCAAAAACAAAACCCCTAGAGCATCTTATCCTTCCCCCTCCCCAAAAGCCCTAGTAACTATACAGTATTATAGTCCTGATCACATTTAAAAATAGGCGATCATTAAAAATCAAGGATTTCATAGGAAACTCACTGGTTTCTTACACTGTAATATAAACATATATATGTATACTGTTCAAATAAACAGTTAGCTGCATGATACCTGTTACAGGCAAGCTATACATGATCAATAAGACTCAATTTGCCAATTATAAATGTTGTGGGCCTCTAGTGAGCCAGCTAACCAAATGCAATGCTATATGTTAATATGGGTATTTGGTTATTCTTAGCTATGCCTGATGTTATCCATTAGATTCTATAATCATTAGAATGCTAACACAGTACAAGATTTGATCTCCTTCAACCAGATGAAAGAAATTGAATTCCAATTACAATAGTTTATTTTCTCTGAATTTCCAAAATAATAGCTTATTTTCTCTGCAATGTGATATATGTTTAATTTCAGTATATAGATGGATTGCCCCAACATTATTTCAAAAGGGGGGGGTGGGTGTGTGCGTGCGTGCGTGCGTGTGTGTGTGTGTGAAAATGAAACATAGTTTAAGCCATTAAAACTTTAAAAATGACATTTTTAAAAGTGTATTTTTTAAATTATACAAACTGAAAAGGATATTAATTTCAGAGGAAAGAGGTTTCTTGGCATTTTGATTTCTGAAATTCATTAAAGAGTTGGTAACTTTTATCAAAATGTACAAACAAGAAGTTTTCAAAGGGGATCTGATGAAGGTAAAGGTAAAGGTAAAATGGGCCTCACGCAAACTAAGAAAGAAAAAAATAGTGATAATAGAAATCACATCAGAAACAAGGAAAGGCAGTTCCAGAAAGTAAAAACACATACTCTATCCCTTTTTAAAGGCAGAAATTCCCGGCCTCCTCTCCAGGGCCTTTGCCTCTCCTCTCTCCTGTACTTTATTTTGCATTTTTGTGCATGTGTATTTCTTCTACACATCTCCAACCTCTCCTCTTTCCACCTCAATCTACATACAATGCTAGAATCTATTGTTTTAAAATCTAAAATATTAGTTCCTGTTCCATTGTTAACCCTCCATCTACCATACATGCCACCTCACATGTCAACTCCTCTCAGTAAGCCTCAAACTGGACAAAGGTACTGCAGCAGGCTTCTAAACTTCACTTTCACCGTGCCACTGAAAATGTTCTCCCCAAGACCACCAAAGTTCACCGTACTTCCCAGTCAGAAAAATCTTTGGGTCTTTTTATTTATACTTGCTGCAGAACTTAATCTCTTCTTTGGATGCCTTTCCTGTTTCCCACACATTATTCTCTCCTGATGACCCTCCTTCCTCTCCAATTATTTCCCCTTGAGAATCCTCTTCATCCATTCATGCTTGAATGTTAACTTTCCCCAGGCCCTGCTCTTTCGTTTTACACTGGGCAGTTTCAGTATGCTCAATGCTGATAATTCCCGAGCCATTATGGACCTGTGTTAGAGTAACAGACCCAGAGCTCTGCCTTTGTATAGGGCATCTCTGTCTGAATGTCATGTAGGAATCTCAAAATTCAGCCTGTCCAAATTAAATCATGGTCTTCTCTCCAAAGCCTGTTGCTCTCTCTATATTCCCTCATTCAGCCAATGGCATCACTGCTCATCCCACCATCCAAATCTAAAACCTGAGAACCTCCTCTTTCACTTCTAACTATTCCACTCAGTGTTCACTATGTGGGATCCTAATCACCTTTCAACTGGACAATTACCATTGCCATCTAAACTAGATTCTGCCTCTGTTCTCAACCCTCTTTAATCCAGTGAGTGTCTAAAAACACAAATCTAATCATGTTATGTATCTTGTTTAAAACCTTTGGGCTTTATTCAAAAAGCCTTGATTTACTCCTGGACTTTGTAATCTGGCCCCTGCCTTTGTCTCTGGCCTTACATTCTAGCACTTCATAGTACTGCACCTACAATTCAACAAGTTCAAGTTACCTGTCATTCCTTGAGTGCACGATCATCCCTCGCAAGACTTCATACCAACTATTCCTCTGCCAAAATACGTCTCCCTCACCCAACTGTCAGCTCAACTCAGGTTCACTTTCTCTATGCAGGCTTTTCTAATTTTCCCAAGCTGACACAAGTTTTCCTCCTGTACTGCTATATAACCAGTACATATCTCAGTTATGATACTATTAATTGTATTTAAGAGCTGCACCTTCTGATAACTAAGACCAAAAAAGCTAAAGTCTGACAGAAGCAAAAAGCCTAAGTATTCAGTGAGTTATTATCAACCATCTGCCATATGAGAATAAGTTAAATTCATGAGAAAGGGAGTAAAAGGAAAATAGGTGCAAAAAACAGAATTAATCCTATAACGGAAAACTTAAAAATCTTCACTTTGTTAGCCCACTAATCCAATAGGGACAGATTTCTGAAACGGTTTTTTTTTTTTTTTTTTGCATTCTGCAGACCTAATTAGAAACATACAAAAGGCAAGGGTGTCAACAGGTGAGGAGACTCAATGACATTCAACAAGCAGTTAAGTATTTACAGTTTAGATCTAGATATTACAAATATGTACTATATAAAATGAAAAACTGACTTCTATAATATTATACATTACAAGAAGTTGGTCATATATCCCAGGAAAGCAGCCCAATGATAGTGCTTAGCTGCAATGAACCGTTGTTCCAAATACAGGAACAATTTTAACCAAAAGGCTGCACCTGTTCCTGCCATAGATATGTGTGACAAACAAGGGAAACCCACAACCACAACTGACCAAGTGCAGTTCCACTCACCACAGAACTTCTAGTAAGGCGTGTTTTCAAGAGAGAGATTAAAAAGATGATGGCATTTAGTAACGTACCAAGGAAACCACGTGCAGAGTACTAGAAGAGAGCTTTAGTTTCCTCTTTTAAGTAAGATGCTGAAAGATGAGCATATGAGGTACTGAACAGGAAATGCTTATATTGAAGAAATGCAAAACAAATAAACAAACAAAAAAGCCTAGTTTGTTCATGCAAACACCTGAACTACCAATTGCTGCTGCAGAAAAGTCACGTATCTAGGCATACAGATGCCACAATGAAATTCCTAAGTTCTGGTATCAACTGGGCCTTCAATACTGCCTTACAATCTTTTCGTGTGTTCCTAGTCAGTTATATCTCTGAATCTACACTGAATTATTTAATTTTTTATCATTCTTCACTCTCCTAAAAATTCACGATCATCACTCCCATCTTCAGTATCTTCAGGTTTAAATAAGGTCATGATGGCATTAGGGGCCTTATAAAAAGAGATGCTAGATAGCCAGCACCCACATGCCATTTCACCCCTCTCTCTACCACATATGAATACATAAGAAGGTAGCCATGTACAAGCCACAAAGAGTTCTCACCAGAAATAGATCACAGTGACAGCTTGATCTTAGACTGCAAGCCTCCAGAATTGTGAGAAAATAAATTTCAGCTGTTTAAGCCATCCAGTCTATGGTATTTTATTATGACAGCTCAAGTGACTAATACAGAATCGTACTTACAGTTAGAGATTCCACATACTGGTCCCAATTCCAGCTTGATTCAATAATATCTTTAAATTAAGTAACACTAATGCTGGTTTTAATTTTTTTTTTTAGTGCTACCTTTCAGAAAATAATTGTAGAAAATGAAAAAGAATAAAAGAGAAGCACAAAAATGATAAATGGCTATAGTGCAGGCCTACTAAAGTATATCATCAATCTGGTAAAATAAAAAAAAAAAGATACTTACCACCACCAAGAATGTAAGAATCCTGGTGGTTCCCCCAATGTGATGTTCTTTTCCCATCTTATCTAAAATGAATAAAAGAAATATTAAATATTTTTCTAATAACACTTTCCCCATACCTATTACAAAGCACTATTTTGCAATTTAAAATATTAAGATAATACGTAAGATTTTAGTCACTTTCATATTTTTTTATTCAAGTTTTACAAGTACTCATTTTACATAGTAATTTGTTGGCTGAATAGTCTATGAGAGAAGATGCCACCATTATCTTCCTAAATTGCTTCCCTCTGCACCAGAATTTCAGAAGGTATTTCTGGCTCTTAAGGTATTTCAGCATCAAAATCCAAGTTATTAACCATGAAAATCAGTTATCACCAGTAACCCAGAAATTTGCAAGAGATTGGTCTTAATATATACAGACTCTAAATTATGCCCTAAGGATTGAATTTTTAATGAATTCTGGATTTGAGGGGGTGGGAGTGAGAAGGCATATGTCTTCCATAAAATAAGAGTTTTAAAAAGATTGTATTAACTTTCCATTTGTTTACACTTCAGATGAGTGGGAGTCCACTATAATAAAATTTTTAAACTAAGTCAATATTCCCCAAAATTAAAAGTTCCAAATACTCTTTAAAAATACTCTTTAAAAATCGAGAAATTGAAAAAGAACTGGATGGATATTTATACAGTGGCTTTTCTAAGCACTGGATAGCAGTAAAGAGAGATTTCACTTTAGTGGGGAAGACAGACCATAAACAAAGAAACCCCTAAACAAAGAGAAGGCGTTTATATTAGAAGGGACAAATGCTATGGAAGAAAACAAAGCAATGAAGGGAGGATAAAGACCAGAAAAAGAGTAAGAAGTGATTTATAATTTTAATGAAATTGATCCCGCCTCAAACACAATTTTACGTATATGAGGTCTGTTCAGAAAAAGTCCAATCACTGTTAATATAATGAGAATGGTTTGTGCAACATCAACGTAACCTGGCAACCAAGGAGAGTAGACTGGAATGACATCACCGTACCAGTAGTGGGGGCGCTAGACGCATTGAGTGAGCATATATACTGTGTGGCTGTCACATTAAAAATGACTGAGCAAGTATAGCAACAAATCTGCATCAAATTTTGTGTTAAGCTTGAACATTCTTGTGCGGAAACTATTCGGTTGATTCAGAAGGCCACAGCTATGGGGAACTGATGATTGGCAACTTCATCACAACAATGTGTCCACTCATGCATCACGTCTGGTACAGTTTTTTGGCAAAACATCAAATTACCCAGATGACTCAGCCTCCCTACAGCCCAGATTTGGTGTCCTGTGACTTCTGGCTTTTCCCAAAACTAAAATCACCTTTGAAAGGGAAGACATTTCAGAACATTGCTGAGATTCAGGAAAATATGAAGGGGCAACTGATGGCGACTGGGAGAACTGTGTGAGGTCCCAAGGTGCCTACTTTGAAGGGGACTGAGGTATTGTTGTCCTATGTACAATGTTTCTTGTATCTCTCTTCTTCAATAAATGTCTTTATTTTTCATAGTACATGGCTGGATACTTTCTGTACAGACTTTGTATGCCTTAGATTTTTTTGTTTAAATAGCTAAAAATTATTTAACAACATCTCAATCAACAAATCATGCCCATAGGCCCCTAACGCTACTAGGAAGTAAACAACTATAACTATAAATTTGACGAATCTTTTCTATCAGCTACTATGGAAGATGTTACGACTGCTTATACCAAAAGGATTTTTTAAAAAATTTTATGAAGGGAACTCAGAAGGTGGACCTAAGTATAAAACAAACGAACAAACAAACAAAAACATCTCTCTAAGGAAGAAATGAAAAAACTTAAGAGCATTTTTTAGAGTTAAGAACATAAAATATAAACTAATGAGGACCTTGAAGTAGACAAGTAATTTCCTCTCAAAAACCAAAGAGAAATTTTCTAAAGATATGGGGTAGCCATTTTAAAAAAGAGCTATAAGGAGAAATTCTAGGAATTCCTGAAAATGAACTTACAAAAACTGAATATGAATAATGAATCAGAACATGTTATATAAATGTAGGCCATATCCTTTCATTCTTCTAAGTAATAACAAATAACTTTTTTATCCATGCTACCTTCTATCTGATAATTTCCACTGATCAATAGATATTATATCTTTTTGGTGCATGAAAAAGTAATAAATAGTAGTTAATGAGTTTTGTGACGAATATAACTCTGATGTCCTCCTAGAGTTATAATGTAATCAAAAACCTGTATCTCATCTTTCAACTTTTTCTCTTAACATTTTTTCACTAGTTGGTAACTTCTTGTAAAAGTATAATGAACCTCACAGATGTGCCCCAGACACACTAATATTCCTAAGCCCTTCAATCATCCTAATCATATAAACAACAAGTTTCTCAAAGTAGAGTCTCTATATTTCATCTTAGTTTATCCTGACTTTACTCACTATGACTGTGAAAGCACACAGTACTAGTCTCAGATATAAGGAGAACTTGAGGTGCCTTATACGCGAGTTAAAGTGGCAAGACTAGGTCTCAGTGCCAGATCGCGCCTGAGGTAGGATTTGACTCACAGTCTGAGAGCCCCACTACGCCACAACTCCGTCCTGTGACTTACACTGTGTCCACAGTCAATCATCAGCTACTTCCAAAAATAACTCAAGGAAAATACCTATATGGTTTATATTTGATATGGTTTTTTATCAGAGAAAGTCTGAAGGGACGCATTTGTATTTGAAATAATATTACAACATGTTATTCCTCAGAGAAACTCAAAATGCTTCACATACATCATCTTTTCATCCTCATAATATTATTTCCTATATAGTGTGTAAAGTTCATCTTTCTCACTTGGAATTGCAAAGCTGTGGCAGAAGCAGCTAAAACTTTGCTTCATATATTAAATTTAACACAAAAGCTATCCTTTTGTGGTTAACGAATAAACAATTAATGCTTTAGGTATTTCCAAAAAAAGAGACAATTCTACATAGGGATATGTTCCCAGAGTGAATTTTTTGTCCCCAAACTAATTACTATTGCTTGTTTAGAAAAAGCATAAAATCATAGTCAGGAAAACAGAACCCTGATCTATAGAAAACCAAGGCATATTCATTAAGTATTGCTAGAAACAATGAAAATTAGAAATAACCTGAAGCGCATTCACCAACAGTGACTATAAACTAAATTCTGATAGTCACAGACTATAGAAGAGTGTGCAATCATTAAAAAGAATAAGATATATTTACATAGAAAAAGGGCTATGCTATATTGGTTTTTCAAGTTGGAGATTTGGAGGGTTGGAGAAAAATATACATAGTATAAAACTTTTCTATTTAAAAAAAGTATGCATATATATGTGTGCATTTGTGTGTATTCATATTAAAGAAATTGCACCAAAATTACAACCATAATTTCTAAAAAAGGGTAAATAAGGACTTACATTTTAAAATCACATTAACCTCTGTAGTTTATCTTTTTTAGCTAAGATTCACTGATGATGGATGGGGTGGAGGAATGGCCAGAAAATACCTCTAACTGGCAATAGTCATTTTAGAAACAATTCTGCTCTTTACAAGAGGCATTTTCTGCTGTACTGAGTTTCATAAGCTTCAGGTTGTTTAAATTCTTTTTTTTACTGAAAAACCCCTTGAGTTAATAAAAGTTTATTTTTTTTGAAGTGAATATATATTTTTTTATTTTTTCAAATACATTTGAGTGGCATCTATCAATTTCTCTCCAATCCCAGCTGTGAAGCCCTAGGGCTCTTTGCTATTTAATCATCCACTTTTCTTTTCTTTCCACCATTTGCCCAACAAAAAGTTATACTCTCCTGTAACTTTCAGGTAAATCTTTAGGCTCATTCCCACTGCCATATTCTGCATTTCAAATTCTCACTTGTGATTATGCTGTGTTTATCTCATATGATCTAGTCTTTTCAGCACTGATATATAAATGTCAAACCACACATTGAATCATAAGGGTAGGGGTAAGACATGCCATATGCTTTATAAACAACAGCCACAAATTACAAATACATGTACTATCTAATATAGCAATTCTTCTCTAGGAATTTATCCTACAAATATGGTCACACATCTCACACACACCACCACCACCAATTTATATTGAAGTATTCTTTGTAATTACAAAAGGCTGTAAATAACCTAAATGTCCATAAAGAGAGGGTTGGTGAAATAGATCATGGTACATGTCACAGAATGATACCCTATTACTATAAAATTTCAAAAACCAATATAAAATTATTCAAATCAAACAAGTGAAACAAAAAAAGCACAAAACAGTACGTATAACTGACATTTATGTAAACAAAATGATAAACATACACGTGTGCACACATGAACATATGCACAAACACACCTGCTTAGCTTTTCATCATTATTTGCTTCTGGCAAGGCACACTGGTCATTTACCTAGTACCTCTCAGCCCCACACCTGCTCTTCTCTACTCCATTCTACACTTGGTGCTGGGATTCTGAAAATTAACATTTCCTGGGCTTCTTGCCAGCTGGTTTCCTGTTAGGTTCTGCCATCAGGAGACACTAGCAGGAGATCAAAAGGCAGGAGGAAGAAGAGAAGCTTCCTGCCCTTGGCTCCCAAAGCGAAGCAGTTGCCGGCTGCAGCAGCAGCCTCAGCTACAGCAGCAGGGGCGGGGCGATTCTGGAGGTCAGCAGCAGCTTGTTGGAGGTTCTAGCCTTGTCAATGGGGGCTCTTTAGATGATGTAGACCCCTTCCAACAGCACAGCAGCACGTGTGAAACTCATAGGCTCCACGTTCTCAGACTATTCGTAAATCCTGTCCTATTTCTTTGAGAATTAAAAAAATTAATACCATAAAAGGATAAAGCTAGTTCCTGTGTTAAGAAATTCCTGAGGCAAAATTCCTGAGACTTCTAATTTAGATATAGCCTACTTACTGTTCCCACTAATTTTCTAAAAGCTTCCATGTATAGAAGAATGGATGTATCCATACACTAAACTAAAAGTAAAAATTAAAATTAAAAAATGTGTACATTTTAATTCAAAAATTAAAATAAATAAATGTTTAACAGGGAGAAAAATCTGTCTGCACTTTGAAGCATATAGTGCAAAACCGTGGTGTTCAACATAGTACTCACTGACCATGATATGGCTCTTTAAATACTAACTTTAGTTAATTGACTATTCCTCAATTGCAGTAGCCACTTTTCAAAGACTAAAGTCACATGTGGCTACTGGAAAACTCACTAGACAGCACAGATTAGAGATAAATTCTATAAACATATAAAGTTTTATTATTAAATAGTGCAGTTTTACTTTAGAAAGTAGGTGGAAGTCCTCTTAAAGAGGAATACCCTTTATCAGAAACGCCCTTGATAAGTCCCTTCTACTTTTGTTTTAATTTTTTGGCCCAGAAAGGCAGAAGCCCCCAGAAACAGCTTGAAAGTAGAGAATAAATACTTACTATTCTATTGTATTTAATAAAATAAGAATTAAGGAGGTTGCTGGTTGTCTCTCCGGGAGAAGAGGTTGGGAGGGGGAGGCCTCTGGGAGGATTCAGGAGAAGAGTAAATAGGAGAGGTTCTAAGGAGCCAACAAGATGGAAGGCAAACAGAGCCCTCCGGCAAACAGTTAGTGGGAAAGTCCCTGGGGCAAAGACACCAAAGAACTAAAGGATAGTTAATGTTGCTGTCTGCACTGTACAACGCTTAATATTCAGTTTTCTCCCAGCTTTCAGTAACAATCTTTTATACACAAAAGCAATGAGTTAGTGGAGCTTTGAGGCTGTAAGTGAAAAAGAAAACTTCAGGCAAAGAAAAGTTATCAGCCATAAGAGAAGCAGTGGGGAAGTACCAGTAATATTTAGTAGGAGCAAGAAATTACAGCAAGAGAACCCTAAGCCCTACTCCTCCTAGGAAGGCCCAGAAACACTAAAGACTTGAGACAACCCATAATATATTGGGATTAGAGTTGGAGCCATATTGTTAGAAAAGGTAACCCCAGAAGGGAGGAGGAATGTGGGCCATTCAAACAACAGACACTTAGAGTACACGCGCGCGCACATACACACACACACTCTAACACACACACTCACACACAAGATATACATTTATACTTGTGCTCTAAAGAAAGAAGATACCCAAGATAGAAAAGGATTGGCCAAGAATTTTAAAATTAACACTTCGAAAACTTCCTACATGCCAGACCCTTTAAAGCCCTTTATATGTACTAACTCATTTAACCTCAGCACAACTTCAAACTGTTATTATTATCTTCTTTTCATAATTAAGAAACCTGAATAAGTAAACAATGTCTAGAATATAATCCAAATACAGAAGTTTGGTGCCAAAAAATACACTCTTTACCACTACATTATATTGCTTCCAAATTAAAGTTCAAGAAACTTGTTAGAAAATTATTTATTTTCTCTCTTCATATAGGTGAAAGATAAACAGAGGGAACAGAATTTGAATCTATGGTGTTCAATAATTTAGCATTCCTAATTAAATCTGAAGAAACAATCTGGTAAATGTTTTTAAGCTTCTATTTCCAGCTAACTTATTGACTAATTTATGACAAATAAGGGCTGGTAATATACAAACAATGTAAAAATCTCAAGAAGGGGGAAAAATCTAAACCTCTGCAATACTCTAATTCTTAATTTTATTTGTTAAGGACGCCAAGCCATTCCTTATATTTAGCCAACCCTATATTGGTTATTTAAAATAATGAGAAAGTATTTTCACAGTGCCACTCAGAGTTTGGCAAATTAGAAAGTAAAGAATAGGTCTGAGAATCACATACACTCATCTCTAAAGTCCAGAAATACTGTTTCTTCTTGGTGGCAATAGTTTGTTTTCATCTTAACTGATTTCCTCTTGTGAAATTGAAACAGATTAGTAATTCAGAGAAATCCTCAGTTTTGTACTCCAAATGCAGACACAGAAAATACAATAATGGAAGATACTTGTCAAAAATGTGTAAATCTCTTCTGAAATTAATTTCATTTCTACTAAATAGTCCTTAAAATTTTGTATATCCACTTTTCCATTGAGCTAAGTCCATCTCAGTAGACTATCTAGTTATCTGCTAAATCCATATAACCCACTTGAGTCCAAATATCTGAACGTCCTTACCTAAGTTAGCCAACAATTTTCTTTTGGGATGAAGTTTATTTAATCACTGTATATGATATCTTACACTGTTGGTAAAAAAAAAAATGGAGTTTTGGGTCACCCTGAGGATTCAACAAATTGAGCCAATTCAAAATTGTCCTTAATCTAAGGAAAGAGGTCAGAGAATCCTGCCCTGGCTGGTGTGGCTCAGTGGATTGAGTGCGAGCCTGGGAACTGATAGGGTGGCTGCTCAAATCCCAGTCAGGGCATGTGCGTGGGTTGTGGGCCACGTCCCCAGATGGGGGCATGCGAGAGGCAACAGATCAATGTTTCTCTTTCTCCCCTCTCTCTAAAATTAAATAAATAAAATTAAAAAGGAAATCCCTTTGTTGTTTCATCAAGTATTCAATTGCATTAAAATAACATTTTAAAATCTTTATAGCCAGCTTATTTTCTTTTAAATATACTATATATATCGGCAGTGATTAATAGTACAAATATTAAGAACATCCTTTTTGAGATCTCAATAATTTCCTCTGCCATACTACAGTAAATGCGAATTAGAAAGGTCACAGGCCAAAGTCTTCTAATTAATAACTTAATAAGATAAAGATACACTAAACTTCTCTTTTGATTTGAATTAACTTTAAAATCAAATTTTTATTTCACTGAATATATTCCTTCTATGGTAAAACAATTAACTTCTTCTATGCTGTGAGCAAACCTTTCAAATTCCACATTTAAAAAGAAAAAAGGGCAAAATAAATTTTAATAATACAAGTATTATTTTACCCAATATATCTAAAATATTACCATTTCAATATATGGTCAAAATTTTTAAATTATTGATACTTTATATTCTTCTGTTCATACTAAATCTTCAAAATCCAGCGTGTATTTCACATTGATAGCTCTTCTTAATTGGAATAGTCATATGTTAAGTGCTCAAAAAGGCATGTGCAGCTGGTGGCTAACACACAGGACAGCACAGATAAGGGGAAACCAAGAGCTTTAAAATTAACATATACCCAGGTTTGAATTCTGGCTCTAAGCTATTCGACCATGAGCCAGTTATATAAACCCTCCGATCCCTGTTCTCATTAGTAAAACAAAATTAATACCTACTCTTTACCTTGTAAATCTGATAAGAATCAGATATAATATATGTAAAGCTTATATTGTGCCTGCACATTATAAAACTAAATAAAATATTTCTCAACTTCATGTTTCTATTACTGCAAGAAAGCTCAAATTCAAGGTTTACAAAATGTAAAGGAAAAAAATAGAGAAACAAGAACTTAATATTGTCCAAAGTTTACTAACTGAAATCTAGCCATCAATCCACTATTATTTCTGCAAAATTAAAATAAACAAAAACATATTTTCCAAAATTGTGAATATCAAAACAGATATTGCTGCAATTACAGAAATGATGTTTGTCTTTTTTTTTAAAAGCAAATTTACTTTCTTGATTCTTTCTGCCAAGACTAATATTAGTTTCCATTTCTAAGGGGCAAAATGGCTAGCCTGTTGAATAGGAAGTTATTGGTATGAAAATGACATTTTGGACACTAAAACTGTTTATAATAATCTACAAAGATTATAATATATAAATTGATAACTGAGTATTCATTATATAATATATAAGAATTAATTCCTTTCAAATAATTGTTACAGTATATTTTTCATTTGCTTATATAAGATATTAAAATACAATGAAGAAAATGTATAAAACTTACCTCTGATAAAAATGTTTGGGCCGATTTCTGAGCTCCTACATGGAGCAGATATTCATATACATAGAGTGCTAACCTGAAAATGAATAAGATATTTATTGAAAAGAGACATATGTGAAATTAATTCTTTAAATAATGCACACACTTTCATATTACAAAAATATTTTACACACTTAGTAGTGACACAAAATCAACTCTCCCATATCATTTCAGTGGGAGTTTATATATTATGTGTCCAGAATGAATTTAAACTAATTAAAATAGCATGCAAAGAAAAAGACAAATATATCCTTTATTGGCAAGAAACAGCTAAATATAGATTGTGTCTTGGATCATCTCACTTACCATAACCTCATTCCCTTTGTTATACCTAATATAATTAATAATTTAGAACCAAATATTAATAATCCTTATACCTATGTAAAGTTATAATTTTAATCTTTCATTAGGAAAATAAATGAATTAAGTCATTGGACCTTTCTAACAGCTTCATGTCTTTCTAATTTTTTTGGTGAGTGTTAATGTAAATCCTAGCTATTTGCACATCCATGTACCAAAACAGGTGCTGAATGTCCATTTTAATTAATACCTGTTCTGCAACCTCTCCTTATTCTTTAGGTTTGATTTCTGAACCAATAATATTTTACTTTATAAAGCATTCAGATAACAACAAACCACATTATTAAGTGAACTTCAAAGATACCAGATCATATTAAGCATTTGGGTGCTCGCAGGTTAAAAGTTAACCAAAATTACATATGAATTTATCACTTAAATATCTAATATTAAGTATGCAGTATATACTTATACTACTCTCATTATCTTGTGGATTCAGAATTTTTAAGCTACACCATGTGGCTCAATTTCCATTGAGCTGTTAGCAAAATATTATTCATAAACCCAAATTAGTCTGAGGCAGTATTTTTAATGATATCTTGGACCAATGCCCAGATAACTCAAAACAGTTCAATTTCTGCTACACTATATTTACCAATATTGAGCCAGGTTTACAGTAAACAAAACAATGTAACAAAAACCACAGTTTTGAATAGCTGCACCACATCTCTTGCCAAGTGAATTTTTGATTGTTAAAGATTGATGGCATGTACAAAAATGAATATTTTCTTCATTTTCATGAAAACACATCATGCATTTGTCACAAAAAGAAAAAGCCTGTACAAATCTAGTTGCTCTGTCCATGAGCAACTAGATGGGCAGTTGTTTCTTCCCCCATTCCAAAACTGCCAAACGCTTAAAATGAGAATTACTCTGAGAATTAAGCAGCATAAGAGAGTTGCTCATAAATGAAAAGCATGCTATTGTCAGTATGTGTATGTAACTTATTTTTTAATTATAATTTACTGAATATGCTATTACAGTTGTCCTGATTTTCCCCCTTTGCCCTGTCCACCCAGCACCCCCCGCTCCCTCAGGCCATCCCCCCCAGCATTGTTCATGTCCATGGGTCATGCATAAGTTCTGTGGCTACTCCATTTCCTATACTGTACTATATAGATCCCCATGGCTATTCTGTAATTACTGTTTGTATTTTTGAATACACACGCCTCTTCAACCATTCCCCCACTCTCCCCTCCCCTCTGGCAACCATCAAAATGCTCTTCATATCCATGATTCTGTCTCTGTTCTTCTTGTTTGCTTAGTTTGTTTCTTAGGTTCAATTGTTGATAGACATATATATTTTTTGTCCTTTTATTGTTCATAGTTTTGATTGTCTTTTTCTTAAATAACTCCCTTTAACATTTCCTATACTAACGGTTTGGTGATGATGAACTCCTTTAGATTTTTCTTGTCTGGGAAGCACTTTATCTGCCTTTGATTCTAAATGATGTCTTTGCTGAGTAGAGCAATATTGGCTGTAGATCTCTGCTTTTCATGACTGAGTATTTCTTGTCAGTCCCTTCTAGCCTGCAACGCAACGCATCTTTTGAGAAATCAGCTGACAGTCTTATGGGAACTCCCTTGTAGGTAACTAACTGCTATTTTCTTGCTGCTTTTAAGATTCTTTCTTTATCTTTAACCTTTGGCATTTTAATTATGATATGTCTTGGAGTGGGCCTGTTTGAATCCATCTTGTCTGGGACTCTCAATGCTTCCCTGGACTTGCATGTCTATTTTCTTCACCAAATTCAGGACATTTTCTTTCATTATTTTTTCAAATAGGTTTTAAATAGGTTTTTAAATAGAGTTTAGAAAAGGGACGATGGCCTCTGCTCTCCTTGATGCCAAGCACCTTGGTTTCTCCCTGTATGCCACTGGTGCCTATCAAACTGCTACTTCCTAGATCAGTGCTTCCCAACTCTTTTTCTACCGTATGTGAGGATTATAACATGCCCCTTTTGGTAGCAGTGTCTCCCTGTTGAGGTGTAGCGCATCCCCCAAGTGTATCATATGGGACAGAAGAATTGAATAGTCCTATAGTTTCAAACAAAAAAACCTTACTGGTGATTCTTATTACACATTCTTCAAACACACATATTCTCACACACCCTATCCCTCCATTAACCCCTGACAACTATATCACATGATTCACTGACCATGATGGCAAAGTTCATCTTGAAAAAGCAGATTATTTGCAAGTTTTCCCAGGGAGACTGTGAAGCCTCATCATTGTCTGCCAGAGGCAATGTCACCCTACTGACTACCTCAGAAGGAACAGAACCTCAGGTGATTCTTTGTGGCTTGTGAAATCTTGGGCCTACAGCCAAACCAGTGGTGCAGGCTGGGCAAGATTGCCTGGTCTAACTCAAAGGCTGAACAATCGGGACGTTCCGCCAAGCTTAGGGAGGCTGGAAGTGAGGGGCAGAGAGTGAAACACAGGCAGCTGTGGTGAGCCTGCGGGAAGAAAACAGCCAAAGCCAGAGCACAACTGTTGCTGTGTCCTGGAAATACACATTCCTAAAAGTTACGTCACTTCCTTGTAATCTCTCCCTGGTACGGTTAAAGGGGCTTATATATTTCTTCTATGCTTTTCCCAATTCTTTAGGTAACAAAAAGGATACCTTTTTACCAGTAGAAAACTAAAAGCAACAGTCTCTGTTCTTTCTCTATGGGTCTAGGACAGTGAGTCTCAAAAAAAAATGTACTGGAAGGGACACAGAATTATTGAGAAGAGGGGTTTCAAACTACATAACTAGAGACTCTGAAGCATCTTCTAAAGTGTATGGCTGTCCCCCTACCCTTACAATCTCCTGCAGCACATCATTGCCAACAGAGTGATGAGGCAGGATAGGACTGAGAAAATCTATCTATAACACCATCTTATATATCCATTCTCTGCAACCTCCCTGGAACAAAACTAATGCTTCCAGGCAGTGGCAGGGAACACTGCATGAGTGAACAATTAATTAAACTCTCCTGCCACGATGACTCCATAATACATCGCCAGCAAACCTCCAATATTTCAACAATAATCTGTGTGCACAGGATTCTCCAAACCTATTTCTCTAGCCCTTTCATCTCTACCAAGCTCCAAACCTGCTTCTCCAAACTACTCTTTAAAGTGTCTAACAAGGTATTTCTCGCTTAAATTGGCCATGTCCAAAGTTAAATTTGCCTTCTGCACCTGTGTACAGTACCTGTGCTCACTCTGAATGAAACACAGTCTGAGTCTCAGCTTCCTCATTTGTAAAGCTGGAAGAATACTACTTTCCTTGAGTATAGTTGAAAGTACTAGCACAATAATAGTAACCACTACTGTTGTAATTTCAACTAGTTCTCCCACATCAAGTAATATATTACTTGATTCCAATGCTACGGTCCCTCACACAGCTGCCATTCCTTTCTACCCCCTTTCCCACTCCCGGGGAACCACTAAGGCCGGAGGAGTAGTTGTTCAAGTTTCAGATACAAACACTGTATATTTCCTGTTAGCTCCTGGCAAGAAAGGCATTAGGGCCAAAAATAAGAATCTCTGGAAGGTTTGTGGGGGAAAGCCCTGCAACAGAAGATACTGTTTGAACACTAATGATTCCAGGGGAGTGACACTTGTCTACCTATGAGGTAAATAAATCATAGCATCATCCCTTACCCAGTGACATGAGACCACGAAATATATGACAACATTTTATTTGGATCCAATTTCCACTGAACAGTAAAAATTTAAAGACCAATATTGAATATACAAGCATTTAAACTGTGTATTCCTTTGAGTTAACATTTCCTTTTTCCTTTTGAGGATCTTTTAAGAAATTGAACTACTTTTGATAAAGTACTTGGTGGCTATGTAACTGGTATAAACACTGACAACAAGAAGTAGTAACAGATGAAGGCCCAGGAAGAGCAGAGGCAAAACTTCCGGGCCTCCTTCAGAAGACTGAGGGCAGCTCTCCTTACAGCATTGTCCTCTCTTTAACAATCATAATGGTAGGTTTGTGTCTCCAGTAAAAGATTAACCTTTGCCACTCACACTACATAAGAACCTAAGATATTTAGCTATGTAAAGAATTAAACTTCTGATATACTAGCTGCAAACTTTTTTACCCACTTTGTTAGGACTTAAACTTGATTAGGGTTTTCTGTGGTTTTTTTGAGGGGGGCAGTGCTGGTGAGGGCAAGTCAGTAAGATACTGTTGATATTTAAATGCAGAAAAACTAATATGAAAAGAAAAATTCTAAAGCCTTACAGATAAATGGGCAGAGAAAATAACAAATATCACAACTAATTTTAAAATGTGGAAAATGTTAAACATAACTAGAAATCTGAGAAATATATATTAAAGCAACAATGGGATTTAAATTCTCACTTAAATACATAATATGTAAAGCTATAGATATGCAAACACTGCTGATGGCAATAAATTGGTATAACTCTTTACAACACCGATTTGGCAATAAATATACATCAAGAACTTTTAAAAAAGTTCATACATTTTAATCTAATAATTTCATTACTGGAAATCTAGCCTAAAAAGTTATCCAAAATGTAGAAATGCTCAATGCACATAGACTTTTAATCAAAGAATAAGGGGAACAATGAAAAATAATTAAGAAGAAAACTTGCTCTTTTACTGTAAAATATTTTACATTAGTTAATTTCATGTTTAAAAATATAACTCA